TCAATGGATAGAGCATCGGTCTGCAGGCTGAAGGGTCCCAGGTTCGATTCCAGTCAAGGGCACATGACTGGGTTGTAGGCTCGATCCCCAGTGAGGGGCATGCAGGAGGCAGCCAATCGATGATTCTCTCTCATCACTGATGTTTCTATCTCTCTCTCCCTCTCCTTTCCTTTCTGAAATCAATAAAAATATATTTTAAACAATAAAAATAAAATAAAATTTTTAAAAAAAGCTCAGTCATTGATCATCAGAGAGATGCAAATTAAATCGACAATGAGGTACCACCTTACATGTGTCGGAATAGCTATCACCAATAAATCAGCAAATGACAAGTGCTGGTGAGGAAGTGGAGGAAAAGGAACCTTAGTATACCACTGATGGGAATGAAGACTGGAGTAGTCACTATGGAAAAGAGTACTGAGTTTCCTCAAAAAATTAAAAATGGAACTGCCACATGACCCAGTGATCCCACTTCTAGGATTATAACCTAAGAATCCTGAAACACCAATCAGCAGCATTATTTACCATAGCCACAATCTGGAAACAGCCCAAGTGCCCATCAGTAGAAAAGTGGATAAAAAAAGATGTGGTACATTTCACAATGGAATACTACACAGCTGTAAAAAAGAAGGAACTCTTACCCTTTGCAACAGCATGAATGGATCTGGAGAATACTATGCTAAGTGAAATAAGTCAGTCAGAGAAGGATAAGTATCACATGATCTCATTTATATGTGAAATCTAATGAACAAACTGATGAACAAAATAGGACTAGAGATATGAATACTTGGGACAAACAGATTTCAGTGAGGAGGGGCCTGAGTGTACAGGAAGAGATGAACCAAAGAACATATATGCATAGGCCATGGACACAGACAATGCTGTTGCAAAGGTCTGTGGGGGCACCCCGGGCTGGGTGGAAGGTGGCAAAAGGGGATAAAATGGGGATATCTGTAACAGTGTAAACAATTTTAAAAAAATAAAGAAAATGTGTGTGTGTGTGTGTGTGTGTGTGTGTGTTGGGGAGTGGGAGGGAGAGAAGAAAAAGGGAGGCTAAGAGTTAAGTTTTAATTCACAGAGTTCCAGGGCCTGGAAACTCTCAAATAAGATGAATAGACTCAGAAGCCAAGTCTGAGCATGAGAAATAATTCATGCATAATTATCAAAACTAACAGAATACATGGAAAAGCAGTGAAAAATGTTTCTCAACTTGGGTGGTGTCTGTGGGGCCAAAGGAGGTAAAACTGGCATTTGATAAAATAAGTTTTCACCCAGTGGTATCTGGTCTTCCTGGCCTCTGGAATTGGGGTAGCAGATGGGAAGAGAGTTACCTCTACAAGAGAACCACTTGAATAGGGTAGCAACCATTATGAGTGATATTCAAGAAGGAGGAAAAAGGCCATAAAGATGAGAGGGTGATATCAATGATTAATATTAAATCTCAAAGAAGAATAGATTTTTTTTATATTATGAAGATGATGGTCACCTGAAATAGCAATGGAGTATTAAAAAAGGAAGGGAAGAATAGAAGTAGGAAAAAATTAAAAAGGGAGCAAGGTAGGAAGGAGGAAAGGGGAGAGGAGAAGGAAAAGAATAAAGAGAAGACATTGCTAGAAGTACTGGGGAATGGGAATTAAACAGGTTCAGGGAGGCAGAGCTGAAAGAGAAGTGCCTTCAGGAAAGTAGAAAATGGCAGTTAGGGAAATGCGATGGAGTGAGAATTTTAAAATGGAATGAGTGCCTACTTTCTGCCAAGCTAAGAGCATTACATAATATGGGGTAAATCCTCCTGTCAGGTACAAATTAATACTCTATTTTACAGATAAGGAAATTGAGGTTCCAGATTAAATAACTTTTCCAAAGTCCTGCTATCAGTGAGGTAAGCTGAACTCATGTCTGTATGGCTGTTATGGACACTTGCTTTTGATTACATTTTATTAAATTTATTACATCACCTTTTAAAATTGAATTTATTGGGTGGCATTGATTAATAAAATTATAAAGGTTTTAGGGGTACATTTTTATAATATTGTATTGTATGTTCACGACCCCAAGTCAAGTCTCCTTCCCTCACCATTTATCCTCTTTATTCTCTCCTACCTCTCCCCATCCCTTTTCCTTTGGTAATCACCACGCTGTTGTTTGTCTATACATCACCTTTTATTACCTTACTCTTTTTTTAAATCCTCACCAGAGGATATTTTTTCCATTGATATTTTTAGAGAGTGGAGAGGAGGGAGGAGGGGGGAGACAGAAAGAGAGAGAGAGAGAGAAACATTGATGTGAGAGACACATAGATTGGTTGCCTCCCACATGAGCTCCAGGGACAGAGATCAAGCCTGCAACCGAGCTATGTGCTCTTGACCGGGAATTGAACCCAAGACCCTTTGGTCCGTGAGCTGATGCTCTAACCACTGGGCAATACAGCCAGGGCTATTCCTCACCCTTTTAGTCTAATTAGTCTATCCTCCTCAAAAAATTTCATTTTCATTCTATGTTTATCCATTATTTCTGAGTGAAATACTTTCCCCTCAATATAGTACCTAATCCAGACCCCTGAGCCTCTGAATAAATGCTCTTCAAAATTCATCTCATACCCTCTAAGAAAACAACAATAACTCCACATGACTTAGTTCAGTCTTTTACCAGATATCCCTTAATACTCAACTGCATTAGTCTTTATTTGTTACATGTTCCTATTCAGGATCTTTACTTTGAGGGCATGTCGTTCCAACTAGTTTACTTTGAGGACAGGAACGATTTGTAATATTTTCTCTTTATTCCTTCATTACACCTAGGTAAACTCTACTATACCAAGCACAGAGTGAATGAACACTATGGTTCATAAGTAACAGATGGATACAAACACACACATTTAAAAAGCACATATTTATATTATATACATATTTTCCTAAATGCATGAAGTACTTTTAATAAAGGTATAAAAAGAAGCAAAATCACAAAATATAAACGAAACAAAGTACAACCAAAGAGCTATATGATTTAAAAAGCAGGTAATCTATGCCCTAGTCAGGTTGGCTCAGTGGATAGAGCATCAGCCTGTGGACCAAACAGTCCGGTTCGATTCTAGTCAAGGGCACATACCTTGGTTGCAGGTTCCAGCTCGGCCCGGGCCCTGGTTGGGCCTTGTGCAGGAGGCAACCAATCGATGTGTTGCTCTCACATCGATGTTTCTCTCTGTCTTTCCCTCTCTCTTCTACTCTCCCTAAACAAATCAATGGAAAAAAATGCTCGAGTGAGGACTAACAAAAAATCCTATATAAGACTAATATGCAAATTGTCCCCTCGGGAGTTCGACCAGTAGTTCAATCGCTCGCTATGACGTGCACTGACCAACAGGGTGCGGCGTAGAACATGGTGGGAGACCAGTAGCAGCGGTGGGGTGCTGAGGGAGAGAGGGAAGGAGGAGGCAAGGAGGCAAGGAGGCAGGGAGGCAGGGAGGGAGGGAACCTGATTGGCCCTGATCACTGGCCAGGCCTAGGGACCCTACCTATACACGAATTTTGTGCACTGGGCCTCTAGTAAATAAATAAATAAATAAATAAATAAATAAAAATAAAAAGCAGGTAATCCATATATAAAGATTGACGTATACAGTCATTAAAGGTGAGAAAGAATACTACTAAAAAAAAAATTAGTCTCGGATTCAAAGAAAACTGTATTTTTCTGTTTATAAACATAATTCAAGGCCAAAATAATAAAGAACTTCTTTTTCATTCCATAATAAATGAAGCTACTACCCCCTCTACCTTTCTTCAGGCCTTATCTTTTATGAAATTGTTTTCAGAATAACTGTAAGAACAAACGCGCCTAGGTTATTATAGCCATAAAATATTTTCGCTATATAAAAACAACTAAACAGTTTCTATACACGACAAATGTTTACTAGTTTTGTGTAAGCATTCACAATGTATACCATAGGTGGTATGCATCTTTCTTCTTGTGTCTTGCTCACCAATGGCATTTATATTTACATGTACTTGTTCAGTAATAAGATTGTGACTACAAAAATAAGACATAAAATCTATATGCTAAAGTTCACCTAAAGTGAACATTTGTTTTCAGCTTCAACTTGCTGTGAGGCAAACCAGAAATGAGTATTAACTAAAGTATCTATGTAGAAGATGCATTACATTAAAAAGAGCACCATATTTATACCAGTTTCAGAAATATTGCATATACCTGTCTACTTAGTAATTTCAATCTTTTACTAATACAAGCGCTGCTGCAGCAAAAAAGAACCTTTTTAAAAAGTTTATTTAGTCTATTGTTTCCCACTTTTGCCACCTAAGCCAGTTGTGCACTACCTATTGACATCACTGGATAGGTGAGTACCATCTATTAACACTGATTCAAATGATTCTCTTCTTCATTCTAATTTGACTACCAAAACTCTTATCAACACAGTAGTCTTATGTTTATTTTACCACAGAAACAATCTCAATATGATTTATCAGGAAACTAAACACCCTACCTTAAGAAGAAAAAGATTACTAAAAGAAAGCTAAACAAACAGAAAGTCTAAGACAGGGGTGGGCAAACTTTTTGACTCGAGGGCCACAATGGGTTCTTAAACTGGACCAGAGGGCTGGAACAAAAGCATGGATGGAGTGTTTGTGTGAACTAATATAAATTCAAAGTAAACATCATTACATAAAAGGGTACGGTCTTTTTTTTTTTTAGTTTTATTCATTTCAAACAGGCCGGATCCGGCCCGCGGGCCATAGTTTGCCCATGGCTGGTCTAACATCAGATACAATTTGAAAGCAATAAAGATTTGGCTAAAATGTAAGGATCTTGACCTGTTAACTAACACTATGGGACACTACAGGAATCTTTTCCACAAAGAAACCAAACAGATTCTGAACTCTCAAATTAAATGTTTTAGTCTGCTCTTCCTTTTACATTTAAGGGAATAAAATTTAAAGTGACCACAATTCAAGTATTTATGGCATAGCATGCACATTAATTTTACTTACCAAATCATATATCTGGTTCGCCAACTGTACCTTCTCATCTGCATCTTCCAAAGCTTTATAGTAATCCTAAATAAAAACATTTGCATTTCAAGAATAAATTAGTATCTTAAAATATGTGTATCTAGAACATATAACCACATTTTCATTCTCATTCCTTGTTATCACTGTCAGTCATCCTAAATAAGCAATAAAAACCCAGTTAAGAAAAGGGTGTAGATGAGGTAGAATTAGAAATTATGCACAATGGCCAAGAATTAGAGAAAGATGTTCAGAATTCCTAGAAAAGATATAAATAAAAATAAATACTATTCCAAGTCTAGCCTCTATACTAATGAAAGTTATATGCGGTAATGACTAGATCTTTCCCTTTAAAATTTCTTTTAAAGTTAAGATTTATCTAATTTGTAAATAACATTTAAAGTCTCTAGTTTTAAAACATGTTTTTTATAAAAGTACAACTACTGAAAAAATGCTAACCTGAATGTCTCTATTTTCCAATTGCTGTATAACTCTCATTTTAAGTTAGGTATCAATTCACACAGCTCAACCTATACTGTAGATTTCTCCTCAGCAGAAAGCAAATTATTGTTTAAGAAAATAAATTCTATGAATGTCCCTGGAGTATCAGACTTCTCAGCGTATATGCAAGCTGCACTACACCAAAAACTTACCTTAACAGATTAAAGGGATAATGAATGGCTTTGGTATGTATATATGTGATGTCTATATTCACACACACCTAAGCCTCCAGGTATACTCTAAGCCAGGACCAATTCTGTCATAAATTCTAAATTCTTGTTCTCCTAACAGAAATAATCTTCCCCCCATGCGGTAAAATAAATGACACCACTACTCTAAATTTGTGGTTTTCAAATTTAGTAGCTGATCCTTAAACAATTCTATGTGGGTTGGAGTTGGGGGAGTCATTATTACTCAGAGATATTAAAGGACCTGTCCGATGTCACAGAGCTAAACGGCAGAGTCATCACCAAAGCCAGGTGTCGGAAGCAGTTCTGTCAATGTATCTCAAACAAACTAAATAATACCCTTAAAGCAAACCTTGCAGGAAGAGTTGATATCCATTCTAATCTGAAAGACATAAGAACTCAAAGAAATCTTTATTTCTAGGCCTAGTTCATGTATGAATTTAGAGTTTTAAACTAAAATACTTTTAAAGAATCCTTCTCAGCTCTTAAGATTCTGTTCTTCTGTGATAACACCAACTTAGGTGCCTAGTAATATAAAAAATATGCTTCAAGTTCTGCTAATTAAAAGTGTACTTTTTTATGGCTCTTCACTCTCTAATAAAAGTCACTAATTACTGAAACAACTTTTAAATAAATTACCAAAATGCTTCAATGAAGCTCTAAAACACAACAAATTACTTAAATCCTCAGAAGCCATTGGGAACGTTCCCTCATTTTGATATCCAGAAAACTATTTATTTTTAAAATATCTTTCTCAGAGAGTCCCAGTCTTAACCGACAAATCACCCAGAGTGCTGAACGTACTTTTTTGATGGATGCCATTTGTTCTTCTCTCCACTCTGGTTTATTTTTCTTTGCATTCATAAAGAATTCACTGACTCTTTGCTCTAGTTGATCCATTGCATCTATGACATAACAAAAACATTTCATATTTAGACGACCAAGTTCATACACTGAATATACATGCTTTGACTGGGGGAAAGAAACCAATATCTGACAATGTACACTCCTTCACTGGGTCACTAACTTTAAATATGGCATGCTTTAATTCTGTAAATATAGAATGCCTTAATTACCTTAGTAAAAAACAAAGTTACAATCTTCCCTACTAATAATTTACTTTTGTTGTTACTTCATAACTTTTGCCAATAGTCAATGTAGTCAACAATACAGATAGGCTCTATACTGTAGTTTCTGAATAGTACAGTCTTGGGTCAAAAGGTAATGGTATTAAATCAGCCAAATGTGTCAAAACACAATGTCGTATTGTAAGTACCACTGGGAAATGGACACATTCTTTTAATAAGAAAAAATTATAAAAATGATTTTAACCTCTTGCTATATGGTCTTAAACACAAGATCATCTCCTATCTATGATTAAAAGCAGTAGGTACAATCATTTATCACTTAATATAGTATATTATTTATTCTAGATACATTTTTTTCCTAAATGTGTGCCAAGAATAGTCATTCCATGGTTGCTAAAAGAAGAAAAATAAATAAAAGGGATTCTGTTGCCAAATAAATTAAGGAAAAGATTTTTACTATATCCTTCTTTAGGAGATTTTCAGTGAAATAATAGCTCTTTAAAGATTCTGAGAAGTCTTACAGTTAATTTTTAAGAGAATTTTCCTATGTTTAAATAAGCATTTCCAAACTTATTTGCTAAAGAAGTCTTTTTTGTTAATCCATACCTATTAACTTTAGAAAATTCTAATTATTATAAAAAATATAAGTTTAAAACCTCTAGTTTATATAACCTAAGTCCAAATTGCAAGAGAATTTTAAATTTGTAATAATAAAAAAGCATAAAATAAGTTACTTCTTATTGAATGCCTACTTTCTATCAGGCACTGTATGTTCTAATTTATCTATATTATTTTAATTCCCAGATGATTCTCATTTTGTAGAGGAAAAACCCTCAGAAGTGGTAATGAGGCCAAGGTCAATGAGAAGTCAGTAAAGCCCAAAAATGAACTCGGATCTGAATGAACTTCAAAATCTGTGCTCAAACCTATTGGTAACTACTACTTTAGCGAAATTTTAACATTTCAACTACATTGAAGTTACAAGGAACTTTGTGAGCTGGAGAAACACACAATTCAGACTTCCACACCACAATATACTGAATAAAAGGTGCCTTTCACATCGTATCACCTCCTATTACGTGCCACATGAAACTGACAACAGACTGAGAAAAGTATATTCCTGAACAATGGGTATGGAAATGTGTGTGCTGCTGGTGGGGCAGAGAAGCAAGGGAAGAAAAGAACAGGTTCTTAGCTACCTCAAGACTCCCACACTCTGCAATGTCTGGTTCTCTGGTCTCTTTTCATGGTACTTCCTTCCTCCCTATCAGACCCCACACCCCAGATCTTCCTCCACCCCCACTTTTCTAAGAAAACCTGGCAGCAGGAGAAACGTTTTATGTACAGCTTAAACACAGCTGGAATAAATGGGATCAAAATGTATTTTCTGCAGATATACTCCCACAAAGGCCAGCCATTCATATCATTTAAGTAATTTAAGAGTATCATCATTTCTCCAAACAAGGGCGTGACACAAGGCCAAAAGGTACACTCAATTGTTCACTTTCATTATGTACCATATAATTTCATATTCTTTTTTTTTTAAGTAGAGCATTTTTTAAAAATATATTTTATTGATTTTTCACAGAGAGGAAGGGAGAGGGATAGAGAGTTGGAAACATCAATGAGAGAGAAACATCGATCAGCTGCCTCCTGCACACCCCCTACTGGGGATGTGCCCACAACCAAGGTACATGCCCTTAGCCGGAATCAAACCTGGGACCTTTCAGTCCGCAGGCTGACGCTCCATCCACTGAGCCAAACCGATTAGGGCAAGTAGAGCATTTTTAAAAATATATTTTTATTGATTTCAGAGAGGAAGGGAGAGGGAGAGAGAGCTCGAAACATCAATGATGAGAGAGAATCATTGATCAGCTGCCTCCTGCACACACCCCACCGGGTTCTGAGCCTGCAACCTGGGCATGTGCCCTTGGCCAGAATCGAACCTGGGACCCTTTAGTCCATAAGCCAATGCTCTATCCACTGAGCCAAACCAGCTATGGCTAATTTCACATTCTTAATTTTTAATATAGTATCTATACAAAATAGTAAACAGCTATATTACATTCACTTCACAAAGGATTGTGAGGTTCTTTCAAAACATGAGCAACATAAATTTGGTAATCATCACTGTTTCCTTGTTGTTTTTGTTTTTTAAATATGTTTTTATTGATTTCAGAGAGAGGAAGGGAGTGGGTGAGAGATAGAAACATCAATGAGAATCACTGATGGGCTGCCTCCTGCACGCCCCCACCAGATCGAGCCCACAACCCGGGCATGTGCCCTGACCAGCAATAGAACCGTGACCTCCCGGTTCATGGGTCAATGTTCACCCACTGAGTCACACTGGCCGGTTTTTCCTTGTTTTAAGTGTAATTTTGCTCAATGGATTGACCTTCTTATCTCCAGAGCACTGATTCTTTACCTTCTCTGAATCCTGAACAATTTTAAGAAACTGCACAGAAAAAAAAAAAAAAAAGGATCGTATAAACCAAATACTGCCCTATGAAAGAGTAAGGTTAATTTTGGGAAAAAGTCACAGGATTACCAACTATCACTGATATAAGAAGGGGAGTCAAAAATTTTATTATGGCATACAAGAAGCTTTACAGTAAAATCTTATTCCCCTCGCTCATTCTGATTAACAAAATACCACGCTGTTGACAACTGAGAATACATTCTATCATGTGCAACTTTTCAAATGTGACATCCCAAGGGTCTCTAAAAAACTGCATGCAACCCATACTTCTATTTTCTGCTCTTGAAAAAATTTTAATAGATGAACTTCAGCAAAAGCATTAATGCTAAAATATATGTTCAATACCTAAAGGCTCAGAGTCAGAATGTTGACATTCATGCCGCTGTGCATGAAAACATCTACCTACGGTCTCAACTAAGGTACAGGCACGTTGGCTGCACAGTCCAAAATCCGAGAAAGGAACACAGACGCGTTCCAGTATCTCCTCTTGTCAACGCCAGGAGGAAAGTGGAGGGAGGCAAGGTTTGGCATTGAATTCTTTTGGACAATTCCTATGTGCGAATCAGCCAGAGAGTCAGAGAGCAGAGGCGCTGGGGTCGATAGCGACTAAGTCCGGCACTGAACGTGCGCGGCGAACAAGAGCAAACGCGCCCACTTACTCTGCACCTGCAGGTCCATCTCGCGCATCTCCGTGAAGCGGTCCCGCAGGTCCATGGGAAGCTGCTCAATCACTGTCAAAGGAAGAGTCCGTCAGAGGGGCGGGGCCAACGGCGAAAGTACGTGCCTGCGTCACTGCGTGCGTGCGTGCGTGCGTGCGTGCGTGCGTCGGTGGGGTGGGGGTCGAGGGAGCCGGCAACCCTGAGCGAGGCTGCCAGTTACCGTGAGAAAGAAACATCCCCCGCCTCCCCCTCCCTCCCCGCCATCCCGCCGGCCCGGCCACTCGCGCTCTCGCCCGCCCGCGGGTCCCACGGACGGCCCCGGCCAGCGCCGCCCACTCACTTTCTAGATAGTCCTCTAGGTACAACATCGCGGCCTTGAGCGCTTGGGGGACGAGGGGATCCAGGGGTTTATTTGTGTCACTCGCTGTCGCCGGAGTTTTGTCCCTTCCAATATGGCGCCTCCGCTAGCAGCGCCCGCTCGGCTTCGGTGGGAAAAAAAAAAGAAAAGGGGAAAAAAAAAAACCACTTTGGCGCCTGACGGCGCTTGCCTCACTGCCGCCCGGGGCTGTCATTGGCTGGCTGGGGCGGTGACGTAGGCCGGCCGTGCCTGTGCCCGCGCCGTTGTGGGAATTGTAGTTTCCTTCCCTCGGCAGCGAGCTAACCCGCTGGCAGTTCTTCACACGGAAACTACAAATACCAGGCGCCATGGCGAGGGCTGCGCAACAGAGTCCCAACTGCGGTGCCTGTGTTTATTTGTTGCTTTTTGCACCGGGATGGACGGGAGTTGTTTGCGGCTGCCTAGCGCCGCTAGGAACAACTTTTCCGCTGTCCCTGCCGCTGCGACGGCCCCGCTGCGTGTGAGCCGAGGGCCTTGAGGAGCGCGGGGGGAGCAGCGGAGGTTCCAGCGCTAGAACCCCGCAAGGTCGGGCAGGCGGGGCTCTTCGGTAAAACAGAACTCGCTGCTGGAACCCAGCCTCCGTGTCCGCTCCCCAAAATGTAAACAGGACGTCTCATGGGCTTCCATGTCACTCAAAGAGTTTATTTTAAATATGGGGTGACTGTTTCCCATATTAAAAAGGATGCACAAATAGTTCTCAGTAGTTTCTCAGCTATTCCATTTTGCGGTCCGTCTCGTCGTCATTCTAATGAAATGGATCTATACGTACAGTCTACACCCGCAAAAAAAAAAAAAATTATATATATATATAATCTCAAGCAGAAATAACGGACGGAGCCTTCAGTCTAATGGGCTGTGCTTGGAATAACTTTATGCTGAGCCAATAGCCTGTATTGGACGTCTGTAGTCCTGTGCGTTGTCTTTTTGGATGTTTTGACACCACTTCTCAAATGTTCATCCGTGATAGTCCTTCACGGATCAGTTTTCCTCTTAAAAACTTTTGCACTCAATAAAGGTTGGCTATTACTTCCCACCTGTCTTTAACTCTCTTCGTGTTTCCTGCGTCCCCCCTCCTTGACATTTTCTTGTGCTGAAGATTTTTTCACTGCTCTTAATCAGGATACTTAGCTGTCAGATTCATGAACCCCAAAGGAAATTAACCGCAATCCTAATAACAATTACCTAATTTATTTTTTGTACTTATATTTAAAATTGAATGACTTCAGTCTTCCTCCCACCCTCCCCTTCCTTCCTTCTTCTGGCTGCTTTTAAGATCTCTGATATTATCCCAGTTTCAAAGCAGTGAATCCAGGTATAATTCATTCCTTCCATCCATCCATCCTTCCTTCCTCTCCCCTCCACTTCCCTCCTCTCCTCACCCCCCTCCTTCCCTTTCTTTCCTCCCTCCTTTTCTTCCTTCCCTCCTTTTCTTTCTTTCCTTTCTCTCTCCCTTCCTCTCTTTCCTTATAAATGTACTAGAGGCCCGGTGCACGGATTCGTGCACATTGAAAGGAAATTCATTAGAAGGTGGCTGACAGGGTGGAACTGGGCAAGATGTGCTGGACCCACTCTGGAGCCAACCTCTTGCAGTCCCTCCTCCGGCCGCACCTGGGGCATCTACGGAGTGAGCGAGGTCCCTCCGGCAGGTGGGGTCCCTCAGCCTGGCCTGTGGGAATCGGGCCAAAACCAGCAACCAGCAGTCCGACATCCCCTGAGGGGTCCCGGAGTGCTAGAGGGCACTCTGCAAAGTTGCTGTCGCTTGGCAGCTCCTGTGTTGAGCGTCTGCCTCCTGGTGGTCAGTGGGCATCATGGTAACTGGCCGGTTGGGCCATTGCTTAGGCTTTTATATATATAAATTTTTAACCATGTTTAGGATTTGAGAGGATTCCTGAATCTCAGGATTAGTGGACTGCAACAATTCTAGAAAATTCTCAACCATCATATCTTCAGTGTTGCTTATTTCCCATTTCCTTCATTATCTCTTAGAATACCTCTAAGACAGGTCTCATTCCATTTATCTTTATCTTTTTTTTTAATCTTCATAGGGGGCTGTGTTTTATTGATTTTTTTTTTTAGAGCGAGGGAAAGAGATCAGTGTGAGAGAGAAACATCTATTTTATATGGTCCACCTCCAAATTTTCATATACTTTGTGTTTTTGGAAGTTCTGTTTGGTTTTCTTTTCAAGCCATGTTCTAATTTCTTATACAAATTAAGCATAGTCTACATTGTGTCTGTTAAATCCAAGACTGAAAATTGCATGGGCATTTTGTACTGTCTGTTGTTTCTTCTGGCTTTTGCTCCTGGTGCCTGTTTCCTTGTGGCTTGTGATATGGACTCTGTACTCATGTTTCTGGGGTTTTAACTATGGGGATTCTTTGAGACCTGAATCAAAAGTGAGTTTTCCTAGAGAGTATTAGAATTTGCTACTGCAAGTTGCTTGGAGGCAACAAAAACCCTAGAACTAAATTCAATATTTCATTTAAGATTTATTGAATTTCACAGGTAAATTGAATTTGGGCCTTATGCCAAGTAGCTTGTTATACATGCTGAAGGGAAAATTTTTTTTTCCTCTCCTGGATCCCAAGGTCAAGACAGACATGTTTCCTTACGGACCTGTACATCAGGTTTTGTTTTTTGTTTTTTTTTTCTGATTCACCTTTACACTGGGAATGTAGCCCTTTGGGGCCCCAGATTTTTGTCTTCTATTAAATCTCTCCTTTTAGATGGGCTCTTGGCTTTATTTCCTGACCCTCACAACTGCACAGCTATCAAAGTAGAAGACCTAGGTGGACAGAATTTAACAGATAACCTCATAGCAAAAGCCCACATTGGCCCTCACTTCTTTCTCAGAGTATTCTCTTTTTTCTTCCTTTCTTTTTTTACCCCTCGGAGCATTCCTTCACTTCCTACCAGTTCATTAATGTGTTTTATCTTTTTAAATCCAGCATTTTTTGTTGTTTTCAGCAGGTGGCTCATTCAGATAGCTGAAATAGCATGCTGTCAGAAATAGAAGAAATAGAAGTGCATCATTTCAGCTGATGGCTCTGTTGGAGTGTAGTCCTGTATACCAAAAAGTTACGGGTTCCATTTTCAGTCAGGGCACATACCCAGGTTGCAGGTTCAATCCCTGGTTGAAGCACACGTGGGAGGCAACCAATCAATGTTTCCGGATCTGTAAGCTGGAAATAGCAATAGTAGCTAAATCATAGGATAGTTAGATTGAAATGATACCATCTCTGCAATGACGTAGGTTAGTTCCTGGTAAATGTTATAATGCAATCAGTGCCAGCTTCTATTAACACCCTTAGTTCCCCTCCTGAATTGTCCATATTGCAGATGCTCCTTTGCACTACTCTTAGCTTTGTCGTGTGGCCCTTGAAGCTTTGGGGCTGGCCACTCCTTAGAACTCACTAAAGACTATCTCACCTCCAACTGTTGTCACTGTCATGAAATTCAAAGGGGAAGAGATGCAAGGAAGGCCCTGTAGGGGTGCTACCTGGAAGACTACTGGCTAAGGAGAAGGGGTCAGGATGTAGGGAGAAGATTTTAAAATGAATGCAAACTCTGGTTGTTACCAGGAGTCCAAGAGAAAGGAAAATTGAAATTCTTCATGTGGCATGTCCTCAGGGGGACCTTTGGCCTTATGTCTTAAGAGTCTGACACTTCGTATCTTACAAAGAAAACCACCATCTTTAAACCTTGCTGGTAAAACTTTGAAATGAAATATTTTCTTAACTTTGTGCCAACCAGTCTCTCCGCCCTGACAGACCTCTAAAACATGGGATGAAAGCAGAATAGAATGCTGTCTTTACATGGAACTCTCTAATTTTACATTTTTAAAATCCACGGAGTCACTCACTGGATCTGTTATAAGCAGCAAGACAATAACCTTCACTTAAAATATCTATGGATGTTCCTAGCCTTTTCCACTCCAAATTCCTTTCTACTAAAATAGACCCCTCTAGGGAAGGTTGTGATTTTCTGACCTGGTTCCTGGGTGTTTGTGATGAATAACTGGAGAAGACAAGTAATGGGTGGAGAGTTAAGGAGATTTAGCAGAGGGAATTGCTGGGCGGGGGTTCAGTGGATGGGAGAGGGATACTATTGAGAAAGAGGATGAATAACTGGATATAAAGCTGTCATAAAACCATTCCTGCAAAACAATGGAAATTCTGGATAAAATGGAAGAAGAAAGCCCAAAACTAAGGGAATAAAATTCTCGGGTCCAGAAATAAAGACTACACTCAACGTCTTAATAGTGAACAAGATTTGAAAGAGCCAGAGGGGTTAGGCCTTCACTCTTGGGTCTTGGGAATCTGATTGTGGTAGAATGAAAATATTATAAATGTTGAAATAAATTTCTAGGCCCAAGATGGAACTGCTCCTACATGGGATGTCACGTTACCAAACCAAAATTTATATAACTTTCATGTCCTTGTAAATGCTCCCCTAGACCAGAAATGCAGTATATCCAGTCAGCCAACCTCCAAATATCAATCCAAACCTGGGCACTATAATTTCCTTGTTCCTTCTCACCCCAAACAAAGTTGGCTATGTGGTGCCAGCTACCAATAGGTGTGGAGTGCAAATTCAGACTTCTCACAAGGGGCAGGGACAGGTTACCAAGATAGTAAACATTGGTCTGGCCCAATAAAACATGAGAGGGCCCACAGAGAGACAAATGTGTTAGTACCCATTAAGGTTGCTCCTCAAGCTACAACACAAAGAAGAGCAACATCTGCTGGAAATGAGCACACATTCAAATATTACAAATCACTTAAGGAAATGAAAACTCTGAGAGACTATTAGCAGACAAACAGGGGAACTCTAAATATGCAAGTATTGGAAGTCGTGATTGACAAAATTAACCTAGAAAGTAGAACAAACAAGAGAGAGAGAAAATAGAGTAGAGACAAAAAGTGAAGGGTCAAACTTGAAGTTTCAATAAAAATGGAGACACTACAGAGTACATACTCTATGATATCACTGAGGTGCAGTTTCTGAAAAGGTAATAGACACAGAAGGGTGGCCACCTCTGGGGAAAGTGGGGTGCTTGACTAATCTTGTATCAACTGTTTCTTTTATCTTTTTTAAAAATATATTTTATTGGTTTT